CTTCACCAGCGTGCTTGTTCTTACCCTGCTCTTTCTTTTCTCTCTCCAGCAGGTACTGTGAGACGGAGAGACGGCGCTGCACGGAGAGAAACAAGGGATCCACGTCGTAACGGTACGTCACGCCGGAGTTCCCGCAGCTCTGGTTAGAGTCGCTCTCGTACCGTGTGTCGTAGTCCTGCGACGGTGCCCTAAAGTATTCCTCCTCTCGACGGGCCTTCTCAAACAAATCATCAAACTGAAACTCAATGAAACGTCCTGCCAGGCGAAGATCACGCGTCTTTGACTCCGCCACAGACACCAACGCGTTGGCAGTGAGTGACTTCATTCGTGCGAGAGATCGGTTCCACTTGAAATACGACTGACTCATAAAAAAAAATGTTCGCCCGGCAATGGAGCGGACGTGCTGAGAACAACTACTCATGAGGCGAAAGGTGAGCAGCACTATGCCGCTACTCATTCGCGCAGTCCGACTGATGATCTCCGGGAACAACGAGCAAACAACCTCAAACAGGGCGCTGGAACCAATTTGTAGTGCCAACGTGGAGTTTCCCAGATGCACAAGATTCTCGAGCGTAATAAAAAAAGGATAAACCACAACGTTTGCCCTATCGTTGCGCAGCGTCCGCAAAATGTGCGGAATATACTCAAGAAAAATGCTGCACATTCGCGATCCCATGGCCGTCGAAAATGTCGACATGCGTGCATCCCACTCCCGCAATTCCTTCGCTGTATTCTTCCCTCCGCGAAACTCGGACTTGTCGGTGCCTGCGCTGTAGCGAAAAAGGGACTGCGCATCGGTCATAAGACTCATGAAACCGGCAAAGACCTTGCTGTCCTCCTCCGTCAACAGCCACTGGCGTAGGACCTCCCGAGAGGTGTAATACGTGATCCACAAGATGCTCACGACAAGTTGCCTCTGATCAACTGCAGCAACAGTGCCTTCTACCTTTTCGCACAACTGCATGTACGTCTTCCATTGCAGCGACAGCGGCCGCAGTAACGAGAAGAGTTGGGAGGCCAACCACCGAAGGTTTACGGCCGGGATGCGTGGATTATTCGCAAGGCCGCAGAGGAAGGCGTAGAGCATTTCTGCCGCCTCCGCCCTTGTGTCGCGATCCCTGTGAACTAACAGGCGTGACATGGCGTCCACAAAAATACGGGTAAAAAAGATGGGCTTTTCGTGGCCCGATAAAGGCAGCATCCATCCCACAACATCCGGATCCTCCATCGTAATTTTTAAGAAGGCACACAGCCCCTCCATTTCACCACGTTCCTCAAAGAACTTTACGACAGACTGATAAATCTCCAACAGATGGCCCCGATCGCAGTAGTTACCGAGGTTGCGCAAAAACAACGCAACTCGTCGCACCAAGATTCCGCCAACCGTGAAGCCACCAAGCACGTCAAGCACTTCGGTGCAAAGTTTCCTTATTAGCGTATAGAAGCTGGGATGAAACAGTTCCGAGCGCGATGTATTTGGGTTCTCCAAAGCCATTAAATAAATGGAACGCAGTATGACATCAAACAGATACCAAGAGAGGTCCGCCATCTGTTTCTTGACATTCCTTTGCAGTGGTGTATTACCCTTGGATTTATTCTCGGTATCTGAAGCCCCATCTGATGTGGGTTTCACTGCTGGACCACTCGAAGCATGTCTTGTCTGAGTCAACAAGTTCAGCCACGCCTCCGCAACCCCTGCATACAGACGGTATCGTTGCCCACTATACAATACATTATTTGACAGATGATGATACAAGACTGTTGTCACAGAAGTCCGTATGTATCCGGGCGCTGTTGGTTGTCCCTGGCGCCGTCTTGACGCCTGCGTCGAAACGTCATACTCCTGGGCCCTGAATGTCATGTCAACCAACACGTCCAAAGCTGCAGTGCGGCAGTCCAAACTTACATGGGACGAAGGAGAACTGACAAGTGCAAGGCTGAAAAATGACAGAAACGGGAAAAAGGCGAGAATCTCTGCAAGTGGCAGTTTCCGCATCAGGGCAATGATCTTGGCGTGCGCCCCATCATCTCTGGCGGCTACACCCGCCGACAATTTACCCGAAACTGCAAGCACATTGTCGTTTTGTGAGATGCTCTTTAATGCAGGTGTTGCTCCTCTCAAAACGCCCGCAATAAGTTCATTTGAGGCATGCACAGATGTACGTGTTTGCGTTGAGGCATTTAAAACAGGAATGCCGTTATTCAGCAGCGCCGATGAAGGTGCCTCAGGGAATTTCTTCAGATATCCCCCGGCTGCAATCACCACGGCCTGCTCAGCTGAGACAAAATTAATAGACCAATCCTGCTTCACACGCACCACACCATTCCGACATATGGGGAATGCTGCATAACCGATTTTGTAAAGTCTCTGTTGACCCGGCGTTGGGGGATTTTTCTTTTGGTAAGAAGCGTATAGCGTAATGAAAATGTGGTGCGCATCCGTCAAAAAAAGTGGCAGTTGCAGCTTGAACTCATCATTCAACTCGAACTCCAGGCAGTTATGGATCGTTGAGCTCCACGCGGAGGTCTCAAGTCTCTTTCCCGACAATCCACGTCCATATATCAGCGGCAGCCCTTCCTCGCCAAGAGACACGTCTTGATCCTTCACGCATATTTGCATCAGGTACGTGCGGTGTGTATTCGGCACCTTACGAAGGACGCCCACGTTTATAATCTTCACCTTTTTCAAGCGAAAGTAGTAGACGTTGTGGTAGGCGTTAAAAAAGCCAGAGTTGAGGATGGGGATGGCGCAGGGAACATACCGGTAGGTTTCTGCCCGAGCCCCAGGAATATCAAGGTCTAAAAGACTCACCATCGTTTCGTTCTCCTCTGGAAGCGGCTTGTCGTGCTGTGAAGGGAATGCCACCTCGTGTGATGTGCACTCCGATATCGTAAACTCTAACTCAAAGGGAACAGTGCGAAACGTGTTTCTCGACTTCTCATCGTCCAGAAGTTTGCAAAGCTGAGTATCACAAACGGACTTCCGGTACAATTTTTGTATCGAAAGAGTGACAGAACGTGAGTTCGAATCCTGCTGGCAGTGCACAAACCCCCAGCCCAACTCCTCAAGCACATCCGAGGTAATAGCCAGAAGTTGTGTCTCCTGCTTCATTTGGATGACATGTTGGTTTTTGTACCGATCAGGCCTCGTGTATAGATCAACGTAATTGTCATAGTCCTCGCTGGCAGGGCGAAAGGCATGCACGACAAGGTGGAGTGAACTCATAAACTCCCGCGGAATAAAAGCCACAACTTGATTTCTCCGACTCAGCTCCTGGCGCTCCTTGTGGGGGTAGAAGATGTCAACCGCCGAATGAAAGAAAAATGTCTCGGATACTTTCAACCGACTGTTGCTTGTTATACTGAAGAATGCCAAGGAGAGAATTACCGGATCAACGTCACTCCCGTGAATGTCAATCATGGGGCCACCAATTTTGGTGCACTCTACTCGCAATGGGACACCACCGGCAAAGACCTTCACGGCGGTGGTCGGTTTTCCCGCATCAATCTCACTGACCCAAATGTCGTTCGCGGTTGGACCAGTCGTGTGCGTCCTCTGCCGCTGTAACTTCTTGTCGCCGGATTCGAGGAGGTTGAAGGAGCGGCCCCGGGTCCTCTCCCAAACTTGTATGGGATCCCCAAAAGAAACCCTGGCGAGGGCCCTGTTCACTGCCGTATTCGTTGGCCCTGTGAGGAGCTCCCGCTCCGTTATCACACACTCCGAAGACGCATTGTGCGGAAGATCCTCGTCGTCAAACGTGACGGAGGGATCCTGAACAAGCTCGCTCTCAAAGAAACAATGCACCCTGCTCAGCGGACGCCGGTTCGGATCACCGTGCCGCTCTCTTTTTGCCACCTTCGTCTGGCGCGGAATGGAGCTGGAGACAATGACTTGCTTCGCGCAAAAAAAGCCGAGCTGCACACTCGCAGCAGAAAGGTCACCCTCAGGCCTCTCCCCGGGAGGAAACAAGCAGCGACCAGGCTCACGAATCGTCTCGTACCGATGGCACTCGATACGACGGCAGCGCAATTCAGCCTCCGTGAGGCCAAGTCGCTTCAACTCCTGCGAAGCATATTCCTCAAAGAGTTCATATGGGGGATTCGCGGCAGAAAGAACATCCGTCGCACTACCCGTCATACCAGAGAGAATGCCATTATCATTTTCAACCTGAGAAACAACACTGTTATTGGTACAACTTCCGTTGGAGATCGTTTCGTACTCGTCGTCGGAATCACCGCCAACTTCCTCCTCAGCTTCCCCTGACGGTACCAAAGAGCGTTCGGCCGGGGCAACCAGCTTTGACCTCCCCTCGGTTACTCCTCCCATAGTTAACACAACATCATTAGAGTTGAGGGCACGCTCCTCAGCCTCTCGTTGAGCACGCTCCTCGGCCTCTCGTTGGGCACGCTCCTCAGCCTCTCGTTGAGCACGCTCCTCGGCCTCTCGTTGGGCACGCTTCTCAGCCTCTCGCCGTGCACGCTCCTCGGCCTCTCGTTGAGCACGCTTCTCAGCCTCTCGTTGGGCACGCCTCTCAGCCTCTCGTTGAGCACGCCTCTCAGCCTCTCGTTGAGCACGCCTCTCAGCCTCTCGTTGGGCACGATCCTCAGCCTCTCGTTGGGCACGCTTCTCAGCCTCTCGTTGAGCACGCTCCTCAGCCTCTCGTTGGGCACGCTTCTCAGCCTCTCGTTGGGCACGCTTCTCAGCCTCTCGTTGGGCACGCTCCTCGGCCTCTCGTTGAGCACGCTCCTCAGCCTCTCGTTGAGCACGCTCCTCAGCCTCTCGTTGAGCACGCCTCTCAGCCTCTCGTTGAGCACGCTCCTCAGCCTCTCGTTGGGCACGCTCCTCAGCCTCTCGTTGGGCACGATCCTCAGCCTCTCGTTGGGCACGCTCCTCGGCCTCTCGTTGAGCACGCTCCTCAGCCTCTCGTTGGGCACGCCTCTCAGCCTCTCGTTGAGCACGCTCCTCGGCCTCTCGTTGGGCACGCTCCTCGGCCTCTCGTTGGGCACGCTTCTCAGCCTCTCGTTGAGCACGCTCCTCGGCCTCTCGTTGGGCACGCTCCTCGGCCTCTCGTTGAGCACGCTCCTCAGCCTCTCGTTGGGCACGCCTCTCAGCCTCTCGTTGAGCACGCTCCTCAGCCTCTCGTTGAGCACGCTCCTCGGCCTCTCGTTGGGCACGCTCCTCGACCTCTCGTTGGGCACGCTTCTCAGCCTCTCGTTGAGCACGCTCCTCAGCCTCTCGTTTAGCACGCTCCTCAGCCTCTCGTTGGGCACGCTTCTCAGCCTCTCGTTGAGCACGCTCCTCGGCCTCTCGTTGGGCACGCTCCTCGGCCTCTCGTTGAGCACGCCTCTCAGCCTCTCGTTGGGCACGCTTCTCAGCCTCTCGCCGTGCACGCCTCTCAGCCTCTCGTTGAGCACGTTCTTCGGCCTCTCGTTGGGCACGCTCCTCAGCCTCTTGCCATGCTCGTTCTTCGGCCTCTTGCCGTGCACGCTCCTCAGCCTCTCGCCGTGCACGCCTCTCAGCCTCTCGTTGAGCACGTTCTTCGGCCTCTCGTTGAGCACGCTCCTCAGCCTCTCGTTGAGCACGCTTCTCAGCCTCTCGTTGAGCACGCTTCTCAGCCTCTCGTTGAGCACGCTGCTCAGCCTCTCGTTGAGCACGCTCCTCAGCCTCTCGTTGGGCACGCTCCTCAGCCTCTTGCCATGCTCGTTCTTCGGCCTCTTGCCGTGCACGTTCCTCAGACTCTTGCCGTGCGAGTTCCTCAGCCTCTTGCCGGGCACGCTCCTCAACCTCTCGCCGGGCACGCTCCTCAGCCTCTCGCCGGGCACGCTCCTCAGCCTCTCGTTGGGCTCGTTCTTCGGCCTCTTGCCATGCTCGTTCCTTAGCCTCTCGCCGGGCACGCTTCTCAGCCTCCCGCCGTGCTCGTTCCTCAGCCTCTCGTTGGGCTCGTTCCTCAGCCTCTCGTTGGGCTCGTTCCTCAGCCTCTCGCCGTGCTCGTTCCTCAGCCTCCCGCCGTGCACGCTCCTCGGCCTCACTTTGTGAACGTTTTCCATTTTCTTCTTGCGTGCTTTCGCCGTATTTTACTGTAGATGAGGGTTCAATCCCGAAGGCAAGCGATATATTTTGAGAGCTCGAATAATGAGTTGTTTGCTCGTTGTTGATCCGCTCTTGCTGTTTTGCTTGCAATCTACGTTCTATTTCTGCTTTAATGGCATCCTCCTCTTTTTTTTCTAGCTGGTCGTCAATGGGAAAAATTTCAAAGGGTGGAGGCAGG